ATTCAAACCTACTCCAAAGCACAACACAATGGTTGATTTCAATTTTATCAACATAAGCATAACAATGTCAGTGCAGTACACATTCGTTCCAAAGAGAAACTTTGCAGCACAGTGGCTAATTTCAATTTTATCAAAATCATAACATCAATAAATTTCAAATAAATTAACAGATGATAAATTTCATTGAACACAATAATTAGAAGCTTTGTTTGTTTTTAAATAAATTAATAATAATCACCATCCATTCCTTTCAACTATGGAGATGTCCTTTCTTTTAAATTTTAAAAACCTAAATAAAAAAATCTTTAATTTGGAAAAATAAAGAGATTGAATGATGAAATTTCAAAATAGATTTACATGCTTCTTACTCTTACTTTATGATTATGTTACTAAGAAAGACAATGTCGTTGTCGTAGTCAATAGTCGTGACCGCCACCATAGTCAATAAGAGAAAAGAGTGAAAATGAAATTGATTTTTTTTTAAAATTAAACTTTTGAGAGAAAACAATTGTTGAGATTGAGAAAATTGGAGAAGGAGAAAAGAACAGAAATTGAAAAGTGAATTTAAGAACATAAACATGAGAGAGAGAGAGAGAGAGAGAGAGAGAGAGAGAGAGAGAGAGAGAGAGAGAGAGAGAGAGAGAGAGAGAGAGAGAGAGAGAGAGAGAGAGAGAGAGAGAGAGAGAGAGAGAGAGAGAGAGAGAGAGAGAGAGAGAGAGAGAGAGAGAGAGAGAGAGAGAGAGAGAGAGAGAGAGAGAGAGAGAGAGAAACAAATAATTATTCAAATAGAATTCGATAATGGTTGTTTGATCACTAAAAATAATTTCTCAAAAAAAGAGAAATTCAAATGATTCTCCAAAGTGAATCCAAAAATAATAATACTTAATGATTTTTCAACTCAAACGACGAGAAATTAAAATGATTCTCTAAACATGATTCAATAAAATATACGGAAAAAACAATGAGTAAAAAATGGGAAGAAGTTGATATTTCAACAATTCGAAAAACACGGAGTTATGACTGTGAAGAAGAAAAAACTCTTTGGTATGTTTTGGAATGAAACATATACTTTTCTTATATAATGAAGTAGATTAGTCAATGTATCTAATCTAAGAAATGTGGAACTAAGTAACTTTTTCAACAAACACACAAACACACTTTTTTTTAACAATGCGTGACATAAGGAATTCTTTTCAAATTAATTTCCATATGGAAATATTGACATGTTCCAACAATCTCCCACTTGAATTTAAAAAAAAGTTTCACAAGTATCTTCAAATGTTTCTAACTTGAACCTTTGTGTAGCAAGTACGATTTTGATTTAACAAAAGTGACACAATTGTCTTGAACTTTATCTTAGACATCAAACTCGCACACAATCTTTTCTTAAAGTATATTCTAATAAGCTCTTGATTTAATGACCTCGCATGTCTATCTTAGTTTAGTAAAGGCTCTAGGAATTTTACCTCAAAGTTCCATAGAAGTCCACTTATATTCCACAATCGCACATATGAGTCTATCAAGAGTACTCATATAGTTAGGTACTCCCTCAATAAACTATCTATTAAGAGTTTTTATCATCTCATCCTCTTTTTGCTTCAAAGTTCATGTTTTTCTTATTTATAGTAGCACGATCACCTTATATTATTCACAACTTGTTATTACTCATTTAACCTATTTCTTAGAATCTCCCGTCTATTAGGTAGGTAGGGTTATTATCATAAGTAACTCATTTCTCTTGGCATTAGTTTCATCTTTTTGGATGTATTATAGAATTTTTCTTTAGCTAATCCTTTTGTCAAAGGATCTGCTAAATTTTTATCAGTGCGTATATTATCCATTCTTACACATAAAGTTTCCAGAAACACAAGAAAAGGGGGGCGAATTGGGTTTCAGATATGACACCTTTCTGCTCAAGTTAATGATAAGAACAACAAAAATAGAAATACATAAGATTTTATATTGGTTTACTGATAGCTAAGCTAGTCCAATCTACTCGCTAGAGTGATTTCTCGACTTCTCACAAGGACTTAATCCACTAATAAGAAAGATCACGAACTCAAAGACCAACTGTCAATAACTTCTTGAGGCTACAGACTAAAGTTAGTCCCTCAAGGAATTTAACCAAAGTTAAAATATAAAGAGTGTGTTTACAATAATGCTTCTAAATAAGCAGATATACAAAATGAATTTAAGAGTTTACACTTAATAAAATATAAAAATCAAAGCTCTAAGTATATTGAGTATTTTAATTGTTGTTTCTCTCGATTATTGTTCTTCTTTTTACTCACTTTGTCGTTATTCTTATACTTCACGTTTTTTTCTCCAAACCTTGTCCTCTTTAAATAAATGATGAATAGTGGGGGATAGAATAGGAAATTATTCAATTTCACAACTGTAATAATTGTACAAGGTTGAACGTGAATTATGGAAATCTGTTGGTAGTATATTCCTTAATAATTCCAGCATATTTGTCATTTAAAGACAATATTTGATTTTTCTGCTTGAATGAATGATATTCAAGAATATTCTTTCAACATTATTCTCTAAATCGTCGGCTTCGTATTTGAGATGATTTAAAGTTTGACTAGAGTTCAGAGCCATGAAGATTAGACTTCAGAGTCTAGTGAAAATATGACTTGGTTTATTAGAGTAAATATGAATTGTCTGTTCTAAAAGTGTTGACTTGGTTATTCAGATGGTTGACTATCAGTTATACACTTATTCATATGTCAATCTTATTTTAGAATTTATTGATGTCTATAGTCCAAAATCTCTTGCCCAGATTCCAGAGTCTACTTTGTCCAAAGTCTAGAGTTTGCTTTGTCTAGAGTCCAGAGTCTGCTTTGTCGAGAGTCTACTTTATCTAGAGTCTGATTTGTCCATAGTCCATTTAGACCTGAGTCCAGAATCTACTTTTCTTATTTTTAAGATTCTACACACTTAAAAAAATTATTAGAGTACAAAATTGTTCTTTATACTTTGTTACCGTCAAAGCTTAAGGATTGTAGATGTACAGATCAAACTTGTTCCAACAACAACTTCTTTAGAGATACAATCTATTATAGTATCATGATTTCTCCTTAGTTGACGTCTTTTACTATTATGATAATTATTCTCAATTTTCCCACAACAGAATCTTAGCTAGCAAGCATATTAACCAACTTGCTTTTTCACTAGCAGTTGCTAATGCTATCATTTCAGACTTCATTATGGACTGAATTAAGATACAACTCCTCAAACTAACTAAATATATAACTATTAGTTACTTTGGAATCATCTAATGTTGTGTTTTAGTCTACATAACTGTATCATTCAAGTATAACATGAAATCTATGATAATATAGACAACTATTCATGATCTTTTTAAGGTATCACATGACTTACCCAATAGCTTGTCAATGCTCATTACTCAGTTTACTAGTAAACACACAACAATCTTACAGCATATGTAATGTCAGGTCTAGTACAATCACTGACATACATATGACTATCAATCATGCTCTCATATTGTGTTTGTCTAACTCTCTCAACAATGTTCTTAAATAGTTTAACACTAGGATCATATAGTGTGCAAGCAGGTTTACAACCAACATTGATATATTTCTTTAAGATCTTTTCCATACAGTGAGATTGATTCTAAGATATTTCCTTCTCAAATCTAGTGATCTTAGTTCCAAAAATCACATTGGTTACTCTGAGGTCTTTCATATAAAAGTTGTTTCACAACAATGATTTTACATCATTAACGACATGAAGGTTTATATTTAAATATGAGTAAGTTGTCTACATAAAGACATATGATAGTGCAAATGTTATTTTCATATTAGTAATAAATAAATTTGTCACTTTCATTCACTTTGTACTCATTTGATATCATTAATTTATCAAAATTTTCATGTCATTACTTTGGAATTTGTTTTAGACCATACAAAGACTTATCTAACTTATAGACCTTGTTTTCTTACCCATGAATTACGGACCCTTCTGGTTGGTCCATATAGATTTTTTCTTCTAAGTGATAGTTTAAAAAGGTTATTTTAACATCCACTTATGTTTTATTAAGTTATAATAACACCAATTGAAATTAATTCCCTAATAGTTGTAGTTATAGTGACTTGAGAAAAAGTATTAAAAAAATTTATATTTTCTCTTTATCTAAAACTTTGGCTATAAAGGGAGCCTTATACTTATCAATAATTTCATTAGATTTTAGTTTTTTTTCTCAAAACTCATTTTTTGTAACAACTAAATGATAGATCCGATCAGATTCTAGAGAATTTATTTCATAGTTAATAGCTTCTTACTACAAATTTGTATTCAAAGATGACAATACTTCTTTAAAATTTATTAAATCTTCTTTTATTGTATAAGTTGCAGAATCAAACACATAGTCTTTATAAACTCTTATTTGTTTACTACGTTGAATGAATTGAAAAAATGAATTTTACTATAATTATAATATGTGATTCAAAGTATACAATTCTAATTATAATTTGTTTAACTATAAATTTACAACTTAATTTTAATAAGTTTATTTTGTTGAGAAGGTAAGTTTCTTCTACCTTAACCAAAAAAAATTTATTCGAACTTTGTTCTAGACATGCAACAACGTTAAATCTTTTACAAGAGAACTTTGTTGTCAATTGTAATCCTTTTGAACTCGAAGAATTAGTCTATGCAATTGCGCACAAAGAATACTCGAGTTATAAAAAAAAATTATAATATGAAATCACGTTTAAAAAATCTTAATTATTTAATTATTTTTATTTTTATTTATAATTACATTCACCAGACAAAAAAAACCATACAAATGAAGGTAAGTCCATTTTTCCAATAATCAGAGACACACTCAACAAAAAAACCTGGCCTCCCTAATAAGCGGAAAATACTACCCTACAACAGGCAACACAGAACGTTACAGTGTTTCCTTCTTCTTCGATTCTATCAGAGAGAGTTTCTTGTTGCAGATTTTTTGAAAAAAAAAATCGAAATCGAAAATGGGAACCCTCGGAAGAGCCATATACAGCGTTGGATTTTGGATTCGAGAAACTGGACAAGCCATTGATCGCCTCGGTTCCCGCCTCCAGGGCAATTACTACTTCCAAGAACAGCGTTAGTCACTGTTCTCTTCTCAGATCCATTTTCTCTCTTCCCTTTCTCAATCTCATAGATCAATCCTTTAATATGTTTTTTTTTCCTATTATTGTTCTAATTAATTACCAGCTTTATGTATTGGAAGCTCAACCTATTGAAATTCTAGAGAATTGATATAATTACGTAGGAAAAACTAATGAGAAACCTATTGAGTAGAATACAGGAAATTGTCTTTTCTTTGACTTTCCTTTATGCCATAAAACATATCAAGTAATCTTCTTTGTTATTGTTTTAGTGTCTAGGCATCGAACTCTGATGAACGTATTTGATAACGCTCCTGTTGTTGATAAAGATGCATTTATTGCCCCAAGTGCCTCCGTAATCGGTGATGTTCACATTGGCAGAGGATCATCTATTTGGTATGGATGTGTCATGAGAGGTAAGGTCTTTAACCTTACCGTTTAGACATTAAACTTTTGACTGGTTTATCATTTGGTGCTTTAGTTAAGTAACTAATCAGATCTATTCATCGAAGCAAGTTTTAAGGCATTTTCTTTAACTACTGAGGCCATCCTAATTCCGATACAAATTTTCATTACTTTGATCGTTTAATGTAATTTAAAGGTGATTTTTTTTGTGAGTCTCTATTTTGTAGCCATGAATCGTAAGCATGTTTGAACTTCACTTTATGCTTAGGTGACACGAACAACATTAGTGTTGGAAGCGGAACCAACATTCAGGATAACTCCTTGGTGCACGTTGCGAAGTCAAATTTAAATGGGAAGGTGTTGCCTACTATCATTGGGGACAATGTTACTGTAGGTGAGTCCGAGTATACTTTTGCCACGATCATGAACGATATCCGTTTTTTTTTTTAACCTGTAATAAAATTTGCACTTGCAGGTCATAGTTCGGTTTTACATGGTTGCACTGTTGAGGATGAGGCTTTTGTTGGTATGGGTGCAACACTACTTGATGGTGTTGTTGTTGAGAAACATGCCATGGTTGCTGCTGGTGCCCTTGTGAAACAGAATTCACGGATTCCATCAGGAGAGGTATGTATGTGTACTTGTTCAGGTTATTATGTGTGTCTGGTTGGGATTAACAAATTACAATGCCGGAGATCTAGGTATTTGGGTGAAATATAATTGTAACTTTGCTTTTAATGGAAAAGACTATTGGGGTGAAATATAATTGTAACTTTGCTTTTAATGGAAAAGACATATAGAAGCCAGTGTTATTGTAAATCGGCCATGGTGACCCTATGGTTGATATACGTGGCATTTTTTTGGGCTCACCTCAATTAAGGATGCTCATGGATGATTAATTTCCATAACCAATCTATAACCATAAATAATCCATATGTTATAACCGGTTATTAAAACCAATTGTCATAACCGGTTTTTATCTTTTAAAATGATTATAAATCAGTTATTAACAGGTTATATCCATAACCAATTTTATAATTAGTTTGGATTTAATTTTATTTTAAAATTGATTTTTTTAAAAACATAATTTTTTTTTAAAAAAAAATATTGATGTTCAAAAAAACAATAGTTTTTTTTTTAATTTTTTAGAAAATCATTTTTTTAAAATTTTTGGAGAAAAAAAATTAAAACAATATTTTTTTTTCAAAAAATTTTCAAAGTTTTTTTTATTAAAAAATTGACTAATTGGTTTTTATTTTGGATATTGACTTCCAAATTATGAATTTGGTTAAAACCATATTAAAAATATGTCCAAAATGTGGATTTCTTTAAAACCATACTAATAATTAACCGGTTTTTAATAACCGGATTTAAATATGAATATGGATTATTTAAATAACCGGTTTATTTGAGCACCCCTAGTCCCAATGGTAAAATCGGCCGATACTGTGGGTTTTTCCACAATAATCTGCTATAGCTGCACCGCAAAGCGACCGATATGGAGGGATTTTGGCTCTCTGCCAGGGAGTGGGAACAGTAACGAGCAAGAATGCAATAGCATTATGTGTTTGTGAAAAACTTCTATGTTGGTGAAAATAGATTAAGAAATTACCATACTATGATCAATTACATTGAAAACACATTAATAGTCTTAGATATAAAATTTGGAGCATGGATGGACAATTTGCAAGACTGAAACTATTTTATGTGCTGAAAATGTTATCCTTATCATGCGGGATGATTTTGTTTCAATGAAAATGCATGATGTGGGGAAACATCTTTGCAAAATTGCTCCCGAAACAAAGCAATATTAGAAATACAATCAATTGAGAGAAATTTGAGGCCGGGAATGATTCAGTAGGGAGGAACTTTGCAACCCCTTAAAGTGTTGTATATCAAGTATTTTCAATTTCTATTCTATTCTTCATTTCCTTGTGCTTGTCAACTTCTTCCATTGTTCCGAACTCAAATAAGATGTGATTCCTATAAAAAATTCCATAAACTCTCAGCATCCTGTCCATTCTCACTACTTGGTTCCTAGCAAATTGTCTTATAGCGAATTAAAACTATAAGAGTAATCATAATTGGCAAGGTGACATTTTTTTGAGACTTGGTGCATTTTTAATAGAGTAATTACTTCCAACAACAACAACCAAGCCTTATCCCATTTAGTGGCGTCAGCTACGTGAATCAACTTTTGCCATAATGTTCTATCCTGTATCATGCTTTACCCAACTTGGGAATTTCTCCTATCACTTTAATAAATCCTTTTCATTTTCTGGCAATAAATCCTTTATGAGTTCAATGCTTCTAGATTCCAGTTTCTTCTATAAATCCTTTACGGCTCTGCAGCTCTCCTCATCTTTAGCTCGTTTTCTCATCTCAATTTCTTTATGCCTTTCACATTCTTCTTGACAGACTTTTTGCCTTTCGAGTTTGATTGTGTCTTCAAGCATTCCCGTATCTATATTGTTTTTAGAAGCTGGTGATTACTCTTTTAAAATACCTTGGATGATTTGGTGGGATCTAACAATCCACGTTACAATCCCACGATTTACAATTTTCATAAAGCATCTTAGGTCAGATCTGACAACCATGAGTCTAATCATTGACAGATTTATAGGTAAAATGTCCATCTTTTTTGCTTAATGCATGGTGTGATGTTATGGCGTTGAATGTTGATTGATCCATGTAGGGGACTGCGCCGAGTGATTTTTGTTGGTGTGACAATAATAGACCACGAATCCTGTGTTTTGTGAACTACTATTGTTATTATTACTATTCCACTACACACATTTCTGCCCTGTGAACTGATTCATGGAATAAGGGTTTGTGACAATAAGCACTTCTCTTGTTTCAAATTTGACGATGGATTTTGCTCAATAATATTTATCATTAATTGAATAGTCATCCCTACTTAATATTGGTTATAATTTTTGTATAGACTGCATGTTGAACTTTTAGTTTTAATTACGCTAAACTACGCCACTATTCCTGTATGCTGTTAATACTTGTTATGTGTATCTTCAATGATCTGTAACCACAAAATTGCCCATACTTGCAGGTTTGGGCAGGGAATCCAGCAAAATTCCTGAGGAAGGTCACTGCTGAAGAGATATCATTTATCTCCCAGTCAGCTATCAATTACAGTAACCTTGCACAGGTCCATGCAGCTGAAAATGCCAAGCCTTTTGATGAAATTGAGTTTGAGAAGACTCTCCGAAAGAAGTTTGCCCGGAAAGACGAAGAGTATGACTCAATGCTGGGCGTTGTTCGCGAAGTCCCACCCGAGCTCATTCTTCCGGATAATGTCCTACCTGGTAAACAAGCAAAGGTTTCGACACAATGAGATGTTTAAAGAAAAGCATCTTCAATTCCATTCTTGAAAAAATGACATCAAGCAATATACTTGTTTTGTTCAAATTCATGGAAAGAGGGATTGTTTTTTCTTCCCAATAATAACAAACATGTCCCGGGCTAGGGCATGACTCCTTTTCAGATTAAGAAATCAATTGTTCCATAATATTTCAAGTTTTATCTTTGGAAAAGGAAAGTACCATTCGTGTATGTGGATCTTTAGTTTGATGTATCCAATGCATGTGAGTTTCACATAAATGTTTGATTATTTAATGGTATTTATGTTTGAGACATTATTTTGGCCATTAGTTACTTGAATGATTGCTTTATAATAAAGTGAAAGGTGAGAACTGTCCCAAATGAATTCACCACATTGAAATCATAGTCTGCGACATATATGCTGGAATTGTGAGGTTAGACAGAGAGACAAGAGAAGCCTTAAACTTTGGGAGGTATCTGAACAAAGTTGCACCTATTAACTCTTAGTTTTGTTATTATATTTAATGCTGATTCAGTAGTTGCTGGAGTATTTCTAGCTATTTTTATCACTTTCCACATCATAACCACTTTGATTCGGTTTGTTATGCGAAAATCAATATAATTGTGTTCATCCCTCTTATTTATGTCAATTTACCATTAAATTCCTCGGTAACACTAGATTGATCCTATTAGGCAATTGATGCTATAGGCGTAGGGGACCTTTTTGCAAGATTTTTGTATGGAATGGTCAAAGGTCTATCACTTTTAGAATGCTGCGAAGTGGTGGGTCTGTTATTCTTTCTCTTGGTGGTGAAGTAACCTTGGATAATTTGTAGTGAAGGTACAAGCACGTGCAGATAAAGGGTCCTGTCACGTCCGATACATCCAAATGAAAAAAACTATTAATAGAAATTAATTGTTTCCTTTGCTTTCATCCTTTTCAAGTCATCTCTTTGCCACTAAATCAAGTGTTCCATGTTGTTCGAATGTTAGATCTGGTACACAAATGCATGGAAGTTGGAGGCTTGGGAAGTATATAATGTTTGATTTGTAATTATTTCTAAATTTAAAACATCAATAAAATCATGTAAAATTAAAAGATAAGTACTTTGGAACAATTTGTATATGTAAAGTTTTAGTTGTTTGACCCGATGGTAAAAAAAATTCTTTAAACTTAACAAGTGATCATATGTTCAAACTCAATCATAAACATGTAACAATGTTAAAAAAAGGTCATATGTTCAAACTCATGTAATAATGTTAAAAAGAGGTCATATGTTCAAACTCAATCATAAACACTTAACAATGTTAAAAAGAGGGTTTTGTCACACCCATCACAGTCCTATCAAACTCTACAATTGCACTTTCATGAGCTAACTCGATTCACTTTTCATGATTGGGATGAGAAACACTGGACTTGCCAAATTAACAATATTGTCATTCTTTTTACTTAAAAGAAAGGCCTACTCGAACTTCCCACGAGTTAGATCACTAATCCCCAAAAAAACAACAGTGCCTGTATAACAATTTATGCAAACAACTAAACAATGTACTAAAGGATACTCTCTTTTTTTCATACTAAGATATATTTGCAACGCCTTAGACTAAACCCCATTTACCCAACATTTTTTATCCTGAATTTCAGTAAATTGTATTAGAGGATAATGAAAATACTGTGTTCAAGTTCATCAAATGCAGTGCAGCTACTACAACGTTCACAATGATGAGCAATGGATTAATTTCAAAGACAAACAAGATTAAGCAAAGAAAATTCCATCAAAGAAAATTCCATCAAAGAGATGTCTCCTTCCGAAACATGTTCAACATGAAACCTATTCATTTTTTAAATAACAGTTTTTAACAACTCAAGTACTGGATCTTAGATTATCAAATGTCCATTGGAGAACCACCTTGGGGTTCGGCACCACCTTGATTTTCAGTGCCAGGAGCCTGATCTGGGGCAGCATCCTGCTCAGTTGCTACCTCGGGTTCAGCAGGTGCACTTTCTTCCTCCCTCACAATTTCAAAAGTATCAATCAACTGTTGAACAGTTTCCTGATCCAAAATGTGGAATGGCTCACCAACTCCAACCACGGCAATGGTGCATACGGAGCTTCTGAGCTTTTCACCTTGCAAGGACTCCCTAGTTGCAATGAGTGCATCTTTGATTAGATCTTCCCGGGAGGAGGCTGTGAAGTTGTTAAACCTGCGTTCCAAATATGTCTTTGCAGCTTGTGAGCGTGAACCAATTGCAAAAGCCTGGTATTCGAAGTAGTTTCCACTTGGGCAGTTGTAGTAGAGGTGAGCCCCTGATTCATCTAATCCAGCTACAAGAAGACCAACCCCGTAAGGACGCTTCCATGATCTCTGAGTGCAAACCTGCCACTCAAAATTACAGCATAAATACTGATGAGAAAAAGAGCTTCAAGTTCTAATTAATTTTGCAGATAAATCTCTTCCTTTTCCATGTAATTCTGCATATACAAACACAAACTTTGCCTCCCACACACACCCATCCAAATTTCTAATACTAAAACACAATTTTAAGCATATAATATATCATATAAAAATAATACAGATTCCAGAGCAGCCTGATTAGCTAACCCATTTTTGTTTTAATAAAAACACATCAGCTAACCAAACGTAACTACATCAAAAAACAACTGGAGAAAGAGGGAGGTTTTTCTAAACATGTTGTGCACCATATGCCCTCATCAATAAACTGAAAGATATATAACCCTGGTAAGAAGATCCAAGAAAAATACAGATTTCTTAAGTTCTTTGATTAGCTCAAATAACAATATAACTTGAACCCTAATGAACTAGGTTTTTCACAAGCAAGTTATATTGAATCAGTAGAACAATTTGTTCCGCTTCATGCCATCAAATGGCCAACTCAACCTAGAATTGCATGAAATAATAGCTAAAACATTGAAATGTGTGGCATGAAAAGTGTTAAACATAAATATTAGCGCACTTTCAGGATTTCTCTCAGTAAACCTTGGTAGTGCATTGAGCTATAGAAATTTCAAGAAGTTACAAAAGAATAAAAGTTTTAAAACAGGGTGAAATAAAAGTTACAAAACAAGGTGAAATACATTACAGGGTGAAATTATATAGACAAAGCATATGTATATACATTACATGGAAAAATTATATACTCAAAGTGGACTAAAACAAAAAAGAACACAGTTACATAGCCATCGAGTAAGATGCATTTGTTAATCCCTATTTGATAACTACACCATAGTCATAATCATATGAAATAGAAATATTTAAATTAGCAAACAGGCTCATTGTCAACACAACTTTTACACTTTAGTTTATCAAAATATAGAAAATAGAAAACTAAGGGGAGAAAGAAAATAAACTGCAAATCGGGGTAAACAACAGAGTTTCACAACTTCCGTATTCAGTATAGTCAATAGGTAATGCCAAAAAAATTGAATCAGCAGATTGAATTAATAAAATGATGCGTTACCATCACTAGATATGCCAGCAAGGACCAAAAGCACCAAATTTACAAAACAAAACTGCTGCAAGCAAAGCAAAACAAAACTGTGTGCACCTAACAGCTTAGGCAACGATAAAATGTAAAAGAAAAGTGCAAAGCTGAATATGTCTTTCCTGTTTAGAGTAAGTTTGAACAAACTTTTCCACAAAAACTGATATACTTTTCAACAGTATGTGAATCAGCTTCTGCATTTCAATTCTTTTAAAAATTCTCTTGTTTATCTTCTTCACATAGACCATTCAGTTACAAGGACTGTTTTGCAAGTGAAATTTATAATCTTATTTTATTTGAGAAGTTCTCTAAAGCTAATCCAAACTTGGCAATCAAATGCCAGCAGTCCAAAACCTATTTTAGTGTTTTCATCGGCATAAATCTCTTTCTAACATTTTCATTCTTTAGAAAAAAATGCTGAAGATCAGGTTTAAACTCAGTTTGTGTAGATTAAAATCACAGTAAATCTAACTACTAGGCCAGCAAACTAATTTGTAAGCAATATGCAATACTAATTATAATCTATGCTATCTATCTCATATAGCGGTGCAGCACAGCCATCCCAAAAAGTGGAGTGGAACGGGAGCGGGGAGCGAAACGGACATGATTTTGGTGACGCGGACACTAATACAGTTAATACTAATAAGCACATGATTGTTGAAAACTAAAATAAATTACTCAAAATTCATGAAATATTCATGTTTAAAAATAAAAGCCAAAGCAAGCAAAACATACTTGCAAACGACAATAAAATAACCTTGCTATCTTAAAATTTAAGTGTAATATCGTATACGGCTGACACGGCCGCTTCAGAGCGGCATCGTTCTGAATCCAATCCCGTTATCGCGGCCATTCAAGCCAGTCACCCATCTGTGCGGGAACGGAACAGCCTCACGTGGTTTTCTTGGTTGTTCCACTACGTGCCAAGATAACGACAGGAGAATTATAAAATCAAACTGTGCCACTTGCAGAGGCAGACAATTTTCTAGTGTCTACAAGTGTGAATTACAGAAGCCTGCATACTGTAGTTTCTTTAATGATATGTGTTTACAGTGAAAACAGGGAGAAAACAAACACACACCAAGTCGTTCTCAGAAAACTAGAGTCAGCAAACACACCACAGTCACTGACAAAGACACTCAACCAACTACAAACCTTAAATTCTCAAGACATTCCTGGGCTATAAGAAAAAACCCAAAAGGAATAAACAGACCAAAGTCGAAATATCATGCCCAGATTGAAAAACTAGTAACTCCCACACAAAAATGACCAAGCGGAAATGAACATAAATGTTGCAGACTTGCAGTCCCATTTCACTCTAATCAGTAAAATCTAGAGTTAATAAAAAGTTTTGGCACTTTCAAAGTGAGTCATTCAGTTAAGAGTCTAAAGCATCTAACCCCATATATTGAAAAATAAACAAATAAATCCTAAATTTGTTTAAATTAGTTACTTTAACCTATTAAGTGAATTGCTAAATTAAACCCTAAAAAATCCTAGCTCCAATTTCAAAACCCTAGGTCAAACAAATGGAGTTACTACAACTGAATGAGTAATAATATCAGAGTAGAAAGAGTAACCTGAGCCTTATCGGCGAGCTGAACAACGAGACGACCAACGGGAAGCGGAGACTCATAAGTGTAATTATAGTTAATACATTCAGATCGCATGTAACGGGAAAGAACACGGCCGTCGGCGGTGAGACCAGCGATGGCAACTCCGATATGATCGTCAACCTTGAAAATCTTCTTCTGATGAGAAGATAATTCAGAATTGGCTTTGTTAACGCAGGCGAGAACCACGTGCGTCTTGGATCGGAGACCTATTGCGGCTGAACCTTGCTTCACTGCTTCCATGGCGTATTCGACTTGGAATAGTCTTCCTGCCGGACTCCATGTTGTAACGTCAGTGTCGTACTGGTTTCTGAACATGTTTGATTTTGATTGGGTTCTACTTCGCCGGAGAAATGGGATTCAGGGACAGTATTTTGGAGGTCGCCGGAGAAGATCGGAGTTAAGTAGTTATGTTGCGAAGTTTGGGATCGATCTAGGGATTTTCTTTTATGACTCTTTTCTTTCTAATCAAGTTATTACAGTCGGCTTATGGGCCAATGTGCCTTTTCTTAAGCCCAATAGCCCAAATCTTTTCCTCCGAGCAATATTTGACAATTTTTACTGGCAACCGTTGATCTATACCTAACACCCCCATTTGTGGCATTTTTATTGTGATACCCTCGCTCTTAAAAAAATATAACTTTCACAATTTATTTTTTTATTTTTCGAAAATTTTGAAAATATTTAAGGTGTCTGAATCGATTTTGTTTTTTCACTTTTTAAAATATATTTTATAAGATTGTTTTAAAAAAGTGTTTGTAAAAAAAGAACTACTAAAAAAAACTTGTTGGTAACATAGTTTTTCAAAATTATTTTAAAAACGAGAAAATAAAAATATGCATTTGGTAAACTATTTTTAAAAATAGTTGTAGAGACGAGAAAATAAAAATTCTATTTAGTATTCTAATTTTTAAAAATTGTTTTTAAGTTAATATAAAATAATAAATATTTTTATTAATTAATAATTAAATTTTTTATGACTTATATTTAAATATACAAACATATAATTTTATTACTAAATAAAGTCGAGATAGAAACTTCTTATAACTAAATATATAATTTACTTCATTTTTAGAGTTGAATTGATAATGTGTTCATGCGGAGCAAGAAAAATACAATAGGAGCAATAAGAACCACCAATTCAACTAATTCTCCATTGAAGTTTTCTCTCTTGTTATTATGTATTGTGTATTGTTTATGACTTTCTCAATGTATTTTGTTACATTTACGAGTAGTTAAATTCTCCAATGCTAAGAACTGGTCATTGTTCTTGATTGAATTTGATTTTATGAATTGATATTTACAATACCGAGATTTTATTCCTATATGATTTTTTTTTGTGCTTAACGCTTTGCTCTTTCTAACGAACTAATTGCCTATTAGGGAGGACTTTCAACAATACCGGTTGATTGAAATATTCTAGATTACTTAACACCTAGGCCAAGGGGGTATCAACTAGAAACTATATTGTTCTTGATAATCAAGTGATTGGGTTTATTTGCAATCTACTATGGACATGGGGCTTGATTTGAATACCAAAATTTTATTCACTAAGGGTTTAGGAAGAAATAAATTTAAGAACCAATAATATCTATAAATAAATCAAGTTATTACAAGGTCAATTCAGGATATCAAATGAGTTTAAATTCAAACTCTCGTTCCTAACATCCTTTTCTCTTATTATTTTCTATGCTATTAAATTTATTTTAGTTTTATCTTCTGCAAACAAACAAATTTTAAAACCTTCAAATACTTTTTTGTTCAATTAAAATTAAATAGAACTCTAAAATACAACGCAGTTCTCGGGATTGATATTTCACTAACTACCAGTATTAATACTTATGCATATTAGTATACTTGCTAATTTATCGATCACATCTCATATAGAACACTCACACGCATAGTAAGAAAATAGTCTAATGCTATGCGTGAAATACCCTCCACACTCCTATCTCTATATATATCAACTTTTGCCAAAGATGTATTGGCACATGTTGAAAGTGCATCTCCCATCATATGTGATGTAAACTCTTTCTTGAATCAATCTTTTTGAACTCGATGTTAGTACATTCTTATAGTTTTTTTATTGATATGTAACGCCCTGTATAATATATATCTAGAATAATATCATACAAGTGTTATTATTTGATACTGACACAATCATAAGTGTCTATTGGTAACATTTACATACTTGACCATTTATAAAACAATGAAACAACCTACGGTACAAAATATGGAAAGTTCCAAAACAATAAAACCTAAGATCTAAGTACAATATCCTTTGTTGTACAATATACACAGAACACAATATAATAATTATAATCTAAACTTCCCTTGAAACATTTATGCATAGCTCCACTAGTAAACTAAACCTGCAAATAATACTTGAAAAACAACAATAATAATGGGGTGATATACTAATCTTAGTGAGTTCCCTTATCTTATGGGTTCAATCGACTCTACAAGGTTCTAATCCAATCCTAGCTCAAGTCGAAGGAAAAAAGATATAAAACTTGAGCTCAGAAGCTCGCAATGTATGGAAACGTGTCTCTTGAGTTTATCAACTCAGACTATCACTAATCGAAAACCATACCAAGATAAACTTCTCTGCCGCCTCACCTACGTCTAGGACTTTTAGCATGTGTCACAGATCCTTGTATCATACTTTGACATACAAATTGATTCGGATTCAACGTGTTTTCCACATAAATCTTCGCTTCCCATGGGACCCTTCCCATCTCAAGTCTTTTATCTGTAGGCTCCACTCATATACATGGGACTCAAATGAATGGATTCGAATTCTAAAAGAAATATAATCAACCTTACGAATCGTCGCTTCCCCATGGAACCTTTCCATCTCAAGCCTTTTACCCATAGGCTCCATTCGCTTAAGGGAACTCCTACCAAAGTATTAGTGCGAACACCACAAAGGAACTCTACATAAGCATCAACTCTCGGGACAACACATATCAAGGGTTTGTTTACGACTATGTGATGAAATACAACATAACGTGATCATATTCGACAATCACAAGGTGACCATATTCACCTTAATCACAAAATAATAACACATATTCTATACAATGCATCTCACTCACAACTATGACAATCATTAATCCATGACAAATACCTAGGTATCATAGCATGAATGCCACCCTATAGTGATATCTAAATCATACTTGCATATTATTTCTTTTTTTAATCCATTTTCTAGTTTTAGGCCTATGTTTTCTCACTTATCTTCATATTGTTTTAAGCATGTTATCACACAATAAAACATATGAACATGCACATATATCACACATACAACACGTACAGTGACATAACAAGTCAAGTATAAATAATGCGCACAAGGCATGTGATCATCATAATAAATAGGATTTTTAGAGCCAAGCCCCTTTCCAAAATAGGACTTTCGGAACAAAGGTCCCTCACCAATTATCAAACCATTTCACATGGTGTTCATCACAATACTAAGTGTTCATCTTAATCCATTTTCATATTATTCCATATCTATTTCCATCCAATATTGTTTAATTAATCAAACATCTATATCCATATAGCTTTCAACCCCTTCCGATCGCGCCTCAATCCGAGTTATGGTTCACAAGATATGAAGAAAACAAGAAACAAGAAAACTACACCTTGTCATGGTCACACAATGAGCAGAAGGCGAGGATGGCTCGCTTTTAGTTCGCACAGCGACTCCAAGGTGAGGGATAGACATAACTGAATTTAGTTCATGGTCGCACAACGACGGCAAAGCGAATAGCTCACTTTTCGTTCGTTGAGGCTCGCACAACGACCGTAGCAGAACTCAGGTTGCCTAGAGCTTGCACTACGACCCATACAAAATCCAGTATTCCAGTAGCGTAAAGATAAGGTCATCTATGGCCAAAACTCAAATTCTTTAACACCCAACAATAACAAAAACACATCAAAACACTCAATTAACATGATATAACATCATATAGGCATGAAATTCATCATGTTAACATATTTCACTCAACCTAATCTCACATATCATACAAGTTTTTCCCCAAATTTCTACCCATAAGTTCCTAACTAATGGAACGCACCTTGAAGATGAAGAACATGAGATGGAGTTGGTGATGAAAAATCCATAGCTTCCTCTTCCATGAGTTCTTCCTCTCTTCTTCTCCATTTCTCTTCTCTTTCTCTTTTCCTTTTCTTCGTACCAACTTTCTTCTTATTTCTATTTTTTTCCACCAATATATATATATATATATATATATATATATATATATATATATATATATATATATATATATATATATATATATATATATATATATATATATATATATATATATATATATATATATATATATATATATATATATATATATATATATATATATATATATATATATATATATATATATATATATATATATATATATATATATATATATATATATATATATATATATATATATATATATATAACCCAGCAATCAAAAACACATCAAAACACCCAATTAACATCATATATGCATGAAATTCATCATGTTAACATATTTCACTCAACCTAATCCCAATATCATACAAGTTTTTCCCCAAATTTATACCCATAAGTTCCTAACTAATGGAACTCACCTTGAAGATGAAGAACATGAGATGGAGTTAGTGATGAAAAATCCATAGCTTCCTCTTTCATGAGTTCTTTCTCTCTTCTTCTCCATTTCTTTTCTCTTTCTCTTTTCCTTTTCTTCTTACCAACTTTCTTCTTCTTATTTCTATTTTTTTTCCACCAATATATATATATATATATATATATATATATATATATATATATATATATATATATATATATATATATATATATATATATATATATATATATATATATATATATATATATATATATATATATATATATATATATATATATATATATATATATATATATATATATATGTATATATGAGTTAAAAATAATAATAAAAAATTTTATATGTAACATTGTTATTCAAAAAGGTACTAAGGGCACCTTTATCCAATTACAATCGACACAAATCTACACTACACCAAACACATTAAATAAAAAGCCACAAGAATTTATACGATTTGTAATAGTTATAAGTAATTCTACGTTTTGGTTGCATTACTAACCAGCGCCAAGATGATACTAATATATTTTGCATAATCATATCAGATTCACCAAATGCATCATTTAACAAATTTTGGTTTCTAGCCCACAAAATACAACCACATACAAGTCGTGCCTGCCAAGGAGAAATTTCCTTTCAACTTCAAAATCCAAGCTAACAAATGGTTACAACACTTATCTTCTA